TTTTTTCTTCCTTTCTTGTCAAATCAAACCTACCTCTGGTTCACACAGTTTGGCGTTATAGGACGACAGAGACACCGACACCCGGTCCCTCGCCTCCGAGAACACCGAGTCGTCAAACGTGCTTCCTAATATCTCCATCCTGTGTACATGTGCCTGTGTCTGGAAAAAAGTGGTAATGGTACGCTTGTTGTTTGTTTACACCCTCGTGGTTACACCGTGTTTATATGTAGAGCACACGACTAAAACAGTATCCAGGGATAATAGTTCCGGGAAGAAAGGTTCCGACGTATGATGACAGCGGGGGAGTGCAGCAGGCAGCGTACATCAGTCTGAAGACAATTATTTTTAACTATGTTTGTGTTTAATTATCTAAAATGTTATTAAGACTTGACACTGAGATCCCAGAAACAAATATTATGAAAGAGAAGATTTCTTATGGAGAAAAAAAAGTGAAGCCATGCATTAATATAGCCTAATCAGTACTTTTAGATATTTGTTCTGCTTTCTGAGGAAATAACTTATAAATGCCATTCAGTCAGTAATACACATCTGAGGCTGCCAGTGCAAGTGTTTTATATCAGCAAAGACATACACGATGAATGTGGCAACATGAAACGTCTTTAATATAAATGGCATTAATTCATATGAATGTAACACAAATGCATTCTTTCAATTTCTGTACATTTCAGACATCCCAAATGTGTCTGATATATTCATCATATTTCACAGCAGAACTACAATCAACAGAAAATTAGTGACAGCCCGTTAAAATGCCAAGCATCCACTTTCAACAAAAGATTAAAACATTTTCTAAATATCCCAAAATCCATCATTTGATTACAAATCTAAATCAAGCTAATTGTTTTTATATGATTGTATAATATAATCATATTACAGTATCATGAGTTACAAATGAAGAATACACTGAGACAACTTCAAACACATCACAAACATCTCCAATTAAATTAACTGTCAGCAAATAGTTCAAAACGTAATATCTGTTTAGTTGTCAGCCATGTTTATACTTCAGATGAGAGTGGAAATGCTCTGTTTCCTCTCTCTGTGCACTGGGACTGATCCTCTCACCTTCATATTACAGGAAAACATGTTCTTACTTTGCACAGATGAAATTAAACTTCCTGTAGTCAGACATGCTGAACCAGAGATTGTCCTCTTGTGTCTCCATTTTCTCTGTCTTACTGTTTGGAGCCCAGCGACTTTTCCTCTTTGATCAACATAAAGGGTGATGTTAATTAGGAATTACAGCATAGCCTGCCTTTCCTTGTACGATACACACAAACATCAGAGTACAATTATAATGCATCAAACCTTAACAGCCTGTACAATAGTTAGCTTGAACAATTTGCCTACTGTACATACATTATGTCAATTTACAGATGTCAGTTTGTTTAAATGAGGGAAGTTTTGTTAATATGTAAAATTCAATTTCAATTTCAATTTTATTTGTATAGCG